AAAGAAACGTTCATCGGTAGATAATAAAACGGGGATGAGCATCAAGCGTAACTTTTCGGTGACCCGAAAAAATGCGTCGAAAATAGTCAAAAGTGGTTACAAAAAATGGGATTGTTGTTAAGGAGTGAGTTTTAAATTTTGGAATTCTTCACCCGATTGGGTACGGCTCTTAACAGTTGGTTGGAATGGCTACCCCTGTATTTACCATTCCAACTGCATTCTTCTGGATTGTGGCACAACGATCGGAGTCCTGGTTCCACAGAGAGTTGTTCAGAAGATTCGTCAGAGGAACATCCAAATAACGAACTAGAGCCTCTTTTGGAGGAAAGTATGTCCTACAAGGTAGCAATCGAGATATACACGGCTCTATCGGGAATTTCACGTGAACAAATATTCCCAAAAATTATAAAGCAAAACAAAAACATTTTTTCCCAATTTGTTTTTGTGTTGCCTGTTAAATTATGGGAACGATTTATTTGCGTGGAGTTGACGATAGGGCTGAATGACACTCTCTTGGGAAGCCCAGACTAAAGGTGGTACTGAGGTGTAATTTCAAGTGCTCTCTGCTTTAGGCACAGTGACAACGGTCTTTCAATTGGAAGTCTTTGCAATATTTAGTTAAAGTAGTTGGTGTTACACAGAGACCAGCAAAAAAGCCATCTTCGACAGAGAAGCAGGGTGCATCTACCCCTTTTGGCACCGATTACGGTATACAAACCGCGGGAACGAAATATAAGTATGATCAGCAAATGTATTGTCGATGATCCACTGTGCACATCTTCGTTGAAGGATGAGACTAGTACGCAGTATTTTCTTGGTAACTTTCCCTGTTCTTCAGGCTAAGTTGGTGCATCTTTGGGTATTGAAAATGGAAAAACTCTCTTCTCTTTCGCTCGATCAAAAAAGAGCCTGGTAATCATTTCTCATGACTGCCTAGTTTACAGCGCTGTTTTTTTTTTTTTAACTGGCCAAGGACTGTTACTGCAGCTACACTTGTTCTATGTTTTCTTTGTATACTGTTACAAAAATAAAAAACAAAATGTATCGATTTTTCTCGACGATTTTTCTCTCAAAGAAAAGTTTTAAAATGATTGGCTTGTGACATTTTTTTTTCAACACTGCATTTTGAATTAAATATTTTCACTCTCAAAGTAAAAGGTACCAAGAGGACAGGGTCGATTTATGATATATGATATATGAGCTCGAAAACGCTCTATCTCAAAAAACTATTCAAGAATGCCAGCCGATTCAAAAACTCCCTATGTATATCAAAACATTTTCAACACATTTTGAAGTGAGATAGGGCGTTTTTGAACCGCATTCTGAGCCAGGGTGTTCTTCAAGCAAATTCTGAGATAGGATGTTTTTCAATAAAATTCTGAAATAGAGCGTTCTTGAAAAGTTTTTTTAAGATTGGGCGTTTTCGAACTGGCTGCTGAGATAGGTCGATCTTCCACTCAGCAGTCGATATGTTATACGGTTGCATTATACAAAGGTTATTAATAAAATCAAACTCTATTTTTAGTATTTTCCATTTGTTTATGCACTAATCCCACTAATTCAAAGAAAGTGATTTATATATTTTATTTTATTTTTTTTTAATTCTGCTACAGCACATTTCTTTTTCATTCATATCGTTGATTTTAGACCGATCGCAATAAAATTAAAAAAAATATATATATATATATGTATATTCGCGGTGTGGTCGTATATAGTACTTAGTTTATGGTAAGGCTTGGAGCCGCTATGAAATGGCCAGCAGCGGGGCAGCCACCATACACAGCTGAAGGCATGGCCATAAACCACGCATACATACGCACATATGTATATATAGCAATAACCAGCAGCAACAGCATCGAAATGATCAGTAAAATCATTAACAACAACAACAACATCAAGCATCATCAGCACTACCCATTCCCATTGCCAAAGCACACTTTGTGGCCAATTCGTTTAGATGAAATGAAGTAAAAGAAAAATTGGGAAAATTTTTTCGTATTTCAAAAATAGAAATGAACTCAGTTCGTTAAACTTATTCAGCCGAATTTTCTGCTAGTATATTAGCTGCTACCGCCACAGCCTGCTGGTGCTGATGCTGATGCTGTTGTTGTTGTTGTTGTTGCTGGTGCTGCTGATGCTGTGGGCAATGTAAAATGTACTTGTCTGTACATACATATGTACATACAGCAAGTGATGGAACACTTTTACTGACAGCAGCCACACTCAACATAACATTTCCACCGTTTGTCCAATTTTTTTTTTTGATTTTCACAACGATTACGAGTATTTTAAATCGAGTAACTACAAATTGTGCCACTTAATAAAGTAATTAATTTTGCTATTGCTTAATATATTCTTCATATACATATGTATGCACTTTTTCACGCAATTTTCTTCATCTACATACATACATATGTGTGTGTGTGTGTGTGTTCTTCGAAAACTTGCGTTTGACTGTTTAGCATTAAGAAATTTTCAATTATTATGTAAGATGGCTAGGTAGTTGAGCATATCCGGTGTGTGATTAAAAATTAAATATTTCGTTTTCAACTTTTCTTAGGATGATTTTCGATCGCACTACTAACCACAAACTCAGGACACGTAGGGATCGAGACACAAATTAGTCGTACACTTAAAGGTACACCAATGTAAAACGTTGCGTTTTTCCCGCAGAACTTTTATTTCAGAGGAGCGCGACGTGTGTGTGCGTGCGTGCGTACGCGCGCGTATACTATATGTATATATGAATTAAATAAAGAAAACTTATTTTAAATGAGAAACGGAAAATCTTCTGAGGAAGAAACCGAGAACAACACTCGACGAGTACGAAACACCAACTGAAAGAATTTTCCACTTGCATTAACGATGGCAGTGCTGATGCCAAGAGTCAGTCTACAGTGCGGATGATAGACATGTATGTACCGTTAATAAGGCTGCAGAAGTGTGAATGTGAATGTGGTTGCCAATTCCGAAGGCGATGTGCTCTTATTTCTTGAGATGTCTTAGCGATACATGTACATCTTTTGTTTAGATATTTGTATATACATACATACATATATAAATATATATGTATAGATCTAGGATATACGCAAAAGATTGTACATACATATGCAAGGTTTTACGTAGATGACTGCGAAAAGCGAAGAGATCTAGAACTGCGAGCATTCGTACGATCGTGCAAGAAAATTTATGAGTTTGCCGGCAAAAAAAACAATGCAATGCGAAAATCGCTCCGAATTGAAAAGCTGCGCGGTCACTGAAAATGAAACGCTTTGCCAATACAACTGCATATGTATGTATGTGTACATTCAATACGTAGGGGCATATTGGTGGTGCCGAGCAAACGCCGATCTTATGTGGCAACTGACCGGCTGGCCGACGCTCTGCACCATTTGGCTGATACAATGCGTTTATTTCATGACATCAATGATTTTTGCGATTATTTTTTTTTTTATTTCTTGTATTTACTTTACTATATTTTACTTGACGTTTTCCTTTTAGGCTTTCTTTAACACATTTGTCTTCTTTTTTTTTTTTTTGACCGAACAGATGTGGCTCTCGCAGCATATGCGCTTTTGCTATTAGTCTTTTGTAAACTATCTTTGTTTATGTGTTGATTTTTTTTTTTACTTTTTTTCTTTTAAGTTTACTTAGCACAAAGGTGTTGATTTAAATACACAAATATACCTAGGAAAATTCATTAACTCTTTCGTTAGATGTTCAAGTAGGCATTGTGGGTGATGGCAGTTAGGTTTTGTTTGCTTGAGCCTCTTTCCTTAATATATGTATGCCACTTTTAAAAACCACAAGCACATTATTCTTCATCAATGTATATTATAATAGTAATTATAAAGTTCTGTTAAGTGTATTAAATTTAAAATATTTCATTAAGGTGATGGCTTGGTATTGCGTACTTTAAAATATATCAAACCCAGAGATGTGGAATGTGTGCTGACATAAAAGTACAAATGCGTATTGAATCGAACGTACAACCTTGCTTTTATCAATTGCTTTGACACGCGAAAACACACCCTCGGTTACGATAGAAGCAAACTCGCAAACTTTAACAGCTGGTCTTCTATTTAATGCTCTTAACTGTAGTCTTGATATGCAGCCCTTAAGTGACAAACAATTGTAGTATGCTTTCTGAGCATTGTTAACCTGGTTTTAAGTATTCAATTAAATTACTCATACTCAGATTCTATGGAAGACTGGGCACTCAATTGCAAACCTAGCAGAGTAACTTCTTCCTTATTCTTAACCATATCCAACTCCAAATCCGCCGGCGACATTTTTCCAATAAAAATAGATTGTGCGTTTTATAAAACAAAAACATGTAGGTACACACATACATAAAGTTCCAGAAGTTCTGAATTGAACAGGAAAGCAACTTTGCTTGCACTTTTATGAAAGTAAACCAGTATTTCCCGGAAGCGCTGATAATGGCAAAGTGATTGTAGACAAATACTCAACACTGCTACTACATTACTTTTTACACAGTCCCAGTTCGATTTCTCTTAGTTTCTCTTGAATTTTTAAAATCCACAAGACGTTAAACAAATAATTACTTATGTACATATGTATTTTCGTAAATTAATCGCAATTTTATAAAACGTTTATCACTTTTTACTTCCTCTTCAGGAAACTTCTAATTGGCGCGGAAACAATTAATGAAGTTGGCTGCAGCTAGCTTTTGCGTCAATTTCCCTAACCGGTTCGTGCTCCATAACCGATTGGAATGTCAAATGTGGAAAATGTGAAAAATCCACATTGTGCGCGCCCTGTGATCCTACATTCCACCCTGTACTTCTGGTAGTGCATTCCAATGACTTTCCGAGGTGTATTCCAATGATTTCCGGTAGTCCATTCCAATGAATTCCCACCCATTATTCCATTGACTTCCGGTAGTGCATTCCAGAATTCCAGCCATTTTGACATTTGACATTTCTTTTAGACTGGAATTTTTATCTTGCTTTGCTTTGCTAACGAAATGCCAAAAAAACAATCCGAGTGGAGTTTTCAGCATTTTTTCAGCGCAATTTTTATTTTGCATAGTAATTTTCTGTAATCAAATTGGGCCAAAAGCAAACGTTTACTTGCGGAACGTGTATGAAGTGAAGCGGCAATATTTTTCTATCTATAGCAGGCAAAAAATGGTTTGCTTAAAGTGCTGAGCGCGTGTCACAAAACTAGCCCCAAGCGAGCAATGTTCTAAATGGTGCTCTTGGACTTTTTTACATTAGATTAAGTGATTCAAAGTGGAAACAAATAGCTTCAGACCGATGACCGATGTTTGTATGCGCAAATCTCTATGTGCCTTTTAAATCAATAACTTAAGAATTCGTGAAAAGTAAAAAATCGTGTTTCGCGCATTGATCCGCGATCCGCCGGCAGTTAGCGCCATCGATTTTGCAATAGACAACTCTACCAATAACAACAAAACATTCGGAAACCCACATATGTAAATAGGTTGTTGTGATTATGGGCTATTGAATTGTAAACTATCACCTCTATTTATTATCAACAATTCAGTGATCATCCAAATTATCCAACCAACAGTATTTGTTGATGTTTTCTGTGGTTAGTGGAAGTGTAAGTGGTGGCAGCGGGTTTGGTGAAGAGAAGCGCCTTGACGCTATGAATGCCGTTTGTGTATATGTGTCCACGGCGCAACTAGTATTGCAGTCCGATACAACAGAGAGTAACGGACTTGGCGAACAACGTATGCTTGATCTTAGCCGTTTATTTGGCCAACTAAGGCAACTGCTATCGTGTGCTGTATGTGCCCGTCTACTAAATGACCCGTACGCACCACTTAATAATGCCCGCTGTCACCACAATGTATGCCGGCTATGTGTGCGCGGCCGAAAAGCTCTGCGTCCACTATGTATAAGTTGTAAAGATCTGCAAGATTTCAAAACGTATGCTGAAAATAAGACGATGCGTTGTTTACTGCTCTGCTACAAAAGTCTTTGTGAACATTTATTGGGTACCAACTTTTACGCTCAGCTCAGTCGGCAAAAGGCGCATCAAGCGTTAACTTGCAGCGGAGAGAACGTATTCGGTGTAGCGCCAATGCCACACATGACAACTTGCGGCGACATAATTCAGGAAGGTTCCCGCTATGAGGATGTATTGAATGCCTTCAACGCTGACTTACCTCCAGTCACGCCGGTACTAAAAATACCACAACCGCTTGTCACTGCGCCCGCAGTAGGACCAATGGTTACGAGCCAAACCATGCCCATCTCCGTTAGTGCAGTTACGCCTTTAGCACCGCTTTCCGTGCCTCCCAGGAGATTACATACCCAAACTGCACCACGATTAGCCACGCCTCCTAACCCACCGGCAGCAATCAGCAACAGCTCCTCCGCATTATTGCCAACACACAACACAATTATAAAACTGGAACATTTAAACACTAATCTCACTTCTACGAACAGCAACACGCATTTCGTTATGGCATCAAAAGTGAATTCAACTGTGTCACAACAACCACATACTCAATCACATATGGTATATGTGAAGAGTATGAAGCCGGGAGTCAGCGAATCGAGTAGTGTTCATGCGTCACAGCTTCGCACCACACAACCGCTTGCGGGAAGCAGTAACAACAGTGTAGCGAACCTTTCTTCGTCGCCGACAATTACATACGTTGGACCAAACACGCCTGGAATTGTGGTACCCATTGTCTCTTCTTCGGCCACAACCACTGCACCCTTAACTATAGCATCAGCCAAGTTACAAACGCTTAAACGTCAATTGGCGCAAGCGCAAGCTCGTGGTGGCGGACCAATCAGTTTGGCGTCGGCGGTGAAGGCTGCTGGTTTAACGCAATTAGATGGACATGGGGCACTTACTTTCAAAGTAACGGCATCAACTGCGCCTGTAACATCAGCTACAATCTCGTCGGCTACTGTTACCACAATTACAACACCCACATCGATAACCTCCACCTGTCCAACAACAACCACTGCCACAATAACTTCACAACAAATACGAAATCCACCTTCGATAAAAACGGTATCCAATGGCTCGGCAATGTACTCGGTGCTGTATACCGGGGTAGGAAATAAGATAACAATTAAAAGGAAGACTGATGGTGATGAGGAAAATGGACAGAGAGTAAGCTTTATTGTAAAATTTTCAACTTTATATAAATAATTACATAGGAACATATATAACATTTAAAAAAAATGTATATAAAATCTTTCAGAAAAACGTTGCGACCTCAATCTCCAGTTCTTCAGTGTCTACACCAACACTTGCTTCAACGAGCAACACAGTTGGCACAATGCAACAGCAAAATCCGGCCAACAAGTTGAACGCAAAACGCCGTGGGTGCCGATGCGGTAATGCCACTCCTACACCGGGTAAATTGACTTGCTGTGGTCAGCGTTGCCCCTGCTATGTAGATTCCAAGTCTTGTATTGGCTGCAAATGTCGTGGCTGCAGAAATCCTCATCGTCCTGATGGTGGCAAAGTGCGTCCGGTAATACCCGAACTGGCTTGCTATGAAATTCAAATGGCGGATGAAACCCCAAGTTTGAGCCCAAGCGATTTGCAAGTGGGTAATACGCTTACCACGCGTACTCATAGTATTTCAACGGCAACAGCAACTTCGCCCATTCAACTTTCTACACATCAACAGACCACAGCAATTGTGTCTGAGCAACATGGATCTACGTCCACAACATTGCCATCGTCGTCGGTGGCAACGGTGGCATCGCAACTGCATTTGACATCAAGCTCTTCATCGCCGTCTTCCAAAGGTGCAACGCTGATACCATTCATTAGTTTGCATCCCATTTCTTCACAGCATACGCAACAACACCAACAACAACAACAGCAAACAACAAACAGCACAAATATTGGTAGCAACCAACAGCAAACTAATATGCTGCCACTTGAATCGGTGCTCATTCAAAATGCCGACGGTAAATATCAAGGTAAACTATGGTCATGGCTAAACTGGTAAAATAAATAATATCTCAATGCACTTTTTCTCTAATCTCTAGTTGTGAATGTCCTAACCACGGGGCCCACACACCATCAACAAAATAATACCAGTATCCAGCGTATCCATAGTATTCCCCAGCTACAAGTGGCAACGTCAGTCAGTAGTAGTAGTAATAGTAGTGCTACCAGCAACAACAATAACCACACTCTATTGAGTAACTTGTCGACAGTAAATATTTTATCTAATACAACCAGCAGTACCGCGGCGACTACGCCAGTTACTGTAACAACAAAAAGCGTTTTGATGCATCAACAAAATCATGCAAATCGTTTGCAGCAGCAACAACATCAATTACAACAAAAGCACCATCAGCAACAAATGCATGCACAACGTCTGACCTCTTCCAATATCATAACAACCTCTACCAATAACACAACCAATTCAGGTGTTAGCAATTACAGTGCAACGACCACGATACCCATACAACTGCAACATCACAATCAACAGCATCACCACCAGCAGCAGCAGCAGCAGCAGCACACCCAACAACAGCAACCACAACACCAACGCCAACTGCATCAAACCCATCATCATACACATAATCAACAATTAAAATCTAACATTATTACAATGCGTTCTACAAGTGTTAACAACAACAACCACAACAACGCCCGTCAATCACAAAACCTCACACCGTTACTGTCATCAAATGCCTCAGGCACAACCATAACCCTATCGCCTATCCTAATGTCCTCTTCGCCGAACACATTCAAGGCCGAACTATTTTCGGATTCCTCCGAATCCGATTTTATGAACTTTACTACGGGCGCTGTTACATCAACGTCTGTCGTTAATAATGGCGGTAGCAATAGCAATGGCAACAACAACATCAATTCCAACATGATATCTACTATCTACAACAACCATAGTGGCCTCCAAAGTACGCCAACGACAACACGAATCACATCATTACCATCACTGAGTAGTGGCAGTACAGGTAGCGCGAGTGGCAGTGCCAGTCGCATGAGTTTGGGTATGAACATGAATATCAGCGGGTCAGGATCGCACATAACGCCTGCTTTGCTGGAAGTAATTGAAGCGAGTGATTTGTAATTTAGGAGAAAAAAAAAGGGAGATTAAAAATGCTGATTGTATGATATAAGAGGGACGATCAAAATGTGGCAGCTGTAATGGAATAAACAAATTTATCCAAGTGTGCGGGGAATCTACGCTCAGGCTGGAGATTTGCGCGCGAAATTTGCACAAAAAACATGGCGGAATGTAAAGGGTTTCGAATTAGCGATGTTGGCAAATTGGAGCTCAGTATTTACATATGTAAATCTAGGTAAATTTCATATACATAGATACTAGCGACGGGTATTAGGTGTTCTTTATTTACTCGTATCTCTGGCAAAAAAAAAACAAGATGGCTGCAGTTTTAATTTTACTTTCCTGCCAAGCGAATGTAATTAACTCTGTTGATGTTGCAGGTCTGTAGAAAGTAATATTGTCTATATCAACTGTAATTGTGTTGCTAAAGAAGTCTTAAGTCAAAAAAGTGTGCTTCGTTAGTAACAGGAAAGACAAGCATGACAGTCGGGTCTACGTAACCGGAACGACCCAGATTTATATCTGGCCAAGGACTGTCACTCCAGCAACACTCCCCAAAAAGTCTTTGGGGAATTTGTATGCTGCTACAACAACAACAACAAGCATGAAAATACCTTTGTTCCCATGACAGTCGGACCTACGTAATCCATATATATGTATGTATATTGGTGAAACGCTGTCACGCCAGCAGCATTGCCGCAAACTCTGGGAAATTCGTATGGTGTTATAACAAAAACAATACCATGCATTTGTTGTTTTCTTCTTAGCTAATGTATTAAAGCGTTTAAGAAGAGTTATTCTTATAAGAAATACCTTAGTGCAATTATTTATTTTTAACATTTAAAATTATTTCTAGCAAATCACATGGAAATTATGAGCAACAAAAACGATTAGCTTTTCATTGTATTGACTTAAGCTATTTTACTATTATTTTGGATATTATGTAGATATACATAAGCACAGATTATTGCCAAGTTAATTCCAAATAGTGGTCGCTAGTAATGCAAAATGGATTTAAAATTTGTTTTAAGTGGGGATACTGCAGAAGGCATTTCTCCTACTTATGTTTTGGTAGGCGATTCAAATTAGACACCAAAAATAAAAATTTCCTTAGGTAAAAAAAAAAACAAAACAGAAAATAATACTCTCGCTCTAGTTCAGTACTGTAAAACTTGTACCAATCAACCGGACCATTTCTTGCTAGTTGTCATTTTTGCCAAACATGCATACCTTTGTAATAGGTTTAACTTAAAGAACTAATTCTTTTGTGAATGGGAGCTACTCCCATTGACTAATTTCCCCACCCCAACACACGCCCGCACCGATGCCTAATTTAGGCATTGCTTTATGCTTGCAACAAATTTGCAAGCTAACAAAAGCTAGTTGCAATATATATTAGTTTACCTAATTATGTTACGTACATATGCATGTATATATTACATGTACATACAAAAGTACATTTAGAATTTTATATTAATTTATCGCTAAGTCCACAAGAACAAATTGTAAAATACTTTAATATTTTTTTTTCATAATAATGGTGAAATGTGAAATGCGCGTAGTGGATGTTTAAGCAAAGTGTTTTTAAACGGTATTTTATTTGTAGAATATTTTTTGTACTTTGCTTTAGATTTGAATGAACCTCGAAGCATTTCTGAAATGTTACAATTAAGTTTAAGATAGCGTTTTTTGTATATTTTTTAAAAAACAAATTTAGATCAGTACACTATACAAAAAAGCACATACACAATAACACTACAAAAAAAAAACATAAGATTTAAATAAATGCTTAAAAAATATATTAATTAGTTTGTAGTTGTATGTATGTTACAATTGATTGTGTACTTTTAAATTGGAATAATTAAGTTTTAAAATGAATCAAAATCGAATTGGGTAATAAATGTAATAAATTATTAAAATTTAAAAAATCATTTTCGCTCAACTACCGAACTAAAACAAAATTTAATATTAGAAGATCTGAGACATACTTTTTGTGAAATCTTTAAAAACTCAAGTCAATCTTTGCCTAATTATCCTTGTCCATGTGTTATTGAAAAGTCATTTTCTCCCTTTATCAATTTAGTTTAAGAAAATTAACACCAAAGAGAAATAAGTATCAAGAAATTTTTAGCGATCAGACAAAAATTATTTCAATTGCCTCTGTTCGTCTTTCTAGTGATAAATCGCGTTCATTCGTCAAAGGCAAAGGAATATCGAGTGCTCCATTCATCTATCATTTTTGTGAAAGTTCTAGACAAAGCGACCTGAAATATTTTTGATACAGCTCTCGCTTAAAATTTGCGTTAACCCAGCAGAAAATTGGCAACTGCTTCTTGTCTGTACAAAGGCACGTTTCTGGACTACTTCAGCGCAATATTGGGCCTAGTTCTACACCATTTTGGGACTAGTTCTAGACCATTGCGATACTATTTTAGGATTATTGGAGGAGAGTTTTGGGACTAGCTCAGAACTGTTTTAGGACCATTTTGGGACTAATATGGGACCATTTCGGGACCGTTTCAAGACTTGATCGAGATCATTTCATGACAATTTCACAACTTTTTCAGAACCCCTTTAGGACAATTTTGAGACTAGTTCTGGACCAAGTGCGCAGTCCGAACTTAGTCACAAAATAATCCTGGAATAGTCCCGAAGTGATATGAAGAAGTCGTGTATTAAGTCGTGTCCAGACTTTACTTCCGAGTGAATTTCAACCCCTGCCGATTTTATTTCAAAGCGAATTTGATTTAAATTCACTCGGAAGGGAATTGCAAAACCTACCTTTAAATTAACAAAATAAAATTAATTTTAAATTTCTAACTTCTTTATGCTTTGTCAAGCCGTACACAGATGTTTTTACACAACAAATTTTCTGAGTATCCGGTACTCCCGCTTTTTTCTTAAATCTGTATTTAAAGATTCCTTTTCGCACACCCCATTCTAATCCCTTATCAATTGCACTCAAATTGATTTCATAATCTCGCTTCCAGTAGCGCTTATCTCTCGTCACTCTCCACACACAAAGGCGACTGAGCAAGAGTCTCCTTCTTAGACAATATCAAATTGTCTGGCTGGCCGCAGCAGCTTAGCTTTCGACTTACAGGTCCATTTGTGTGCTGCCTTCCGTATAGTGTGCGCGCATCTCCGGACGGCTTATTTTATAAGCGAGCATCGAAGTATCTCAATAAATACTCAGTGTTTCTTGTTTATTATTGAATGTTTTATTGTTCTTGGTGATCGGCGCTAAAAGTGCTTCTGATAAATTGTTGTTGTTTATACTCGACCAGAAAAAAAGATGCTTCGAACGCGCACATGGATCGCGTTATCTTTTGTCTTATTTCTTTGCTCGTATTTTAGTGATGCGCTAATACAAGACGAGGACGATGGTAAACTAGTAGCTTTGCAGTATACACAAAATAAATGTTAAAATTAAAAATGTATGTATGTATATTGTTTTCTTTGTTTCAGCTTCATCAACGGAATCCTCCGCAGAGGTTGATCTTTCCAGCGATGCAAAAGACGATCATAACGTACGTGTAACCGAGAATCGTTTAGCTGCACAGCTATTCGCCGTACTCGAGCACTTTAAGCAAGAAGATCCAGTGGGTCTTCCGGGTGCACCGATTCCAGATCCCATGGAGGTGCCGGATATTCGTAAAAGTGTCGGCATGGGTACGTTGAGTATGTCCAAGGTGAAAGCTTATGGACTGTCGAAATTTCGTATCGACTCTGTTAATGCGGACTTACAGCAAATGGTGGTAAGTAAGATATTTCGTCCAGCCAAAGCAGTCAAACAGAACTAAAATTAGGTATTAAGCAAAAAATACTCTTACGGGGAAATTCATAAAATCACGTTGAAGTTAGATTTTATTGCTTGCTGTTGCTTGTAAGATCACTGCTATTGATAAGAGCGATACGCATTTGAAATTGCCGTTTCTAAGAAAATCTAGCGAGTGAAAACTAAAGTGTATTTTTTTTGCTGATTGATAACAGGAGCTGTGAGTTGGTCAATGAAATTAATGATTTAATAGCTTGACTTACGTCAACATAACTAGTTAGCAGTGTATTTTACTTGATCAGCAGAAGGCCGTGCCGCCGTACCCGAGAGGCTGGAGGTATGTACCTACACTCGATAGAATCCAGGTCCGACACCTTCTCTGCGCAGTCACCACTCATTCTGCCATTAAAGAAATGTTCCTCCATTTGTGTCACAACATTAAAACCACAACTTAAAGATTGGTAATGGTTTACAGTCCTTCCTAATAACTGCAATTAACCCATTATATGTATATACTGGGTGCCTTAAACCAGCCGCCCACCCCTCGTAAAATGAAGGGTAATGTTTTTTATTGGAAACTCAAAAATGTGACGTACCAAGTCGGGGGTGCTCCATCTTTTGGTCGTATTACAGACTTTCGGTTTCGACCAGAAGTAGGTTAAGCTGACTGAAAGTCCATTTTTGTAAATAGGATATGTTTTTACTACAAACTCTGAATTTTTGGAAAAAAATACTCATATTTTGTTGAAATTTTTTCTAAGAAATGCCTTTTTCAAACTCTAAATGACCTTCGAATTTAAAATCTTCCTTTACTTCTAAAATGAACGAAAATGTTTTTATTTATTTATTTATTCTATATTTTATAAGTAAATTTATAAACGAAAATGTTTTTATTGGAAAACGAATAAATATGAATTACCAAGTCGGGAATGCTCTATTTTTGGGACATAGTACCGACTGCCAGTTTTGACCATTAAACTGACCGGAAGTTAATTTTTTTAAATGGCCCAGGCTTGCTTTTACCACAGATTCGGTTTCTGAGGACAAGAATACGTAATTTTTCCCGGAAACTTTTTTCTCGAATGCACTTCCGGTTAAAGAATAGACTTCCGGAAGTTTTAATCCACTTTCGGTCGAAAACGAAAGTTATGTATGAAAGTATGAACAAAAGATAGAACATCCTCGACCGGGCCATTCATATTTTTTCGAATAGCCGATAAAAGCAGGTTTGTTCTATTTAAAAAAATGGACTTCCGATCAGTTTAACCCTTTTTCGGTCTAAACCGTAATGGTTATAGGACCAATATTTTTGCGTTTTCCAATAAAAAGCATTTTCCTCCTGTAGGTCTCTCCACTTGTGTAACAACAACAATACGTACGCCACAAATTGAAGGAGAAGCTGGGCCCAAACCCTTAGCAAAAGTGTAAGCGCCTAAAGATGCTTATTATTATTATGTTGCAAATCGATATATGTGACCACTTCTTTCCGACCAATCCAAGGAAGTGCATATTATTTGCCCTTTGGCCTTCTTAAGGTGAGACTGTCTGAGGTAGTCGAAGTGCGCAGTGGAGTTCGACAAGGCTGCATAAACCCACCCCTTCTCTTCATTTTGGGGATATTTTGGTTGCTGAAAACCAGTTTAAATATCAGGCTTTTCTTGTCCAATATACTATCGATACTGCTGTATGGTTTGCTCCT